ATATATATATATACATATATATATATACATATTATATATACATATATTTATTTATTTATTATCCCAGCCAACAGCAAACATAAAATTCGCCACTTACAGGAGGCAACACAAAAATAAAACAGATACATAAATATAGTGAACGTGAAGAATACAAAAACAAAAATATATACTAAAAATAATATAGTACAAATAATAATAATAATAATAATAATAATAATAACAATGTGATAATAATATCAGATTAAGTGGGCCTAATATGTAAAATATTTCAAACACTGTTATGGAACATAGAGAAATTATCTCTAAATATATCAATATCAGCTAGGCAATCTAGCTCAAAAAAGAGCCAAAAGTCAAACAAATTGCAAACAAAAGATTTTCTTTTTTAATCAAATACATATGATGAGGGGATTAAAATTTCACAAATCACACCTTGGTCACACCTCGGGAACATATGCAAATTAGCTAAAATATGCAAATTAGGTTGAAAATATTGGGGTCTTATATCTTGGCAACCGCTGGTCGCAAGGAGTTGGTTTCTTTTTCAAATTATTCAGAACATGCATGTTTCTATTTGTTCTAATAAAACATTTGCCCAAAAAATAAACGGAAATACTACAATTGACCTCTGACCTTATATTCACTGAATTTGCATATCTCTGCAACTAATGTATATAGAATCTTAATTTAGGTCTTAAATTATTCAAATACATGATTCTTTCCAATATATTAATCAAAGGGATGGAAATCTATAATCACACCATGGTCAAATGTACTGTTCATATGCAAATTACTTCTAAAATATGCAAATTAGAAAAGAAAGTAAAGGCTTCCCATATCTTGGCAATGGCTAGTCACAGAGAGTTGCTTTCTTTTTTTGATTCTGCGGAATATGCATGTTTCTATTTGCTGTAATGGAACATTTTCCACAAAAATGACCGGAAATGCTAAAATGGACCTTTGACCTTATAATCACCGAATTTACATATCGTTTATGACTACTTTCCGTAGAATCTTGATTTAGATCTTAAATTATTTAAATACATGCTTCTTTTTTATATATTAATAGAAAGGATGGAAATCTATCACACCATGTACTGTTCATATGCAAATTAGCTCTAAAATATGCAAATTAGGAATGAAAATATAAGGTTCCTATATCTTGACAATGGCTGGTCACAGAGAGTTGTTTTTTTTTTCAAATTGTACGGAATATTTGTTTTTATTGGCTCTTGTAGAACACCTGTTACCAAAATTGTCAGAAATTATACAATGACCTTTGACCTTATATTCACTGATTGCGTCTCTGTGACTTATGTCCGTAGAAACTTCATTTACAAAACTTCAAATTATTTAAATATTAAAAAAAAAATATAATAGCAAGGATAAAAATCTATAATTACATGCACTATTCATATGCAAATTTGCTCTAAAATTTGCAAATTAAAAATAAAAATAAGGTCTTAATCCTAACAATTATTTTTCAAATTGTAGGTGTGAAATATGAATATTTAAGTTTGCCTTATCGAACATTTGCCGCAAAAAAACATGCTAAAATTGAGCTTTGACCTTATATTATTGGTCATTATCCTGGTCATTTTTCTGAAGCTATTAAGGTAAGATGTTGAGGTGGGGCTAAAATTGGGATACCCTAAATTATATAGTTTGCCTTCTTCTTATAACAACATTAAGAAATTATTAATAAGATAGCATTCCAAGACTAAGTTTGATAATTTAATTAACACAATACTTATCATTTATACATATAAATCATTGTTTCATATTGAGCCACATATTTATACTTATGATATTTGTTCCATATAGGACCAAAGGATGTTACATAAATATAAAGTTAACATCTATCGCAGATTTTAAGATTCAACAGATGTTTAAACTTAACTATAGAAGATGATCCCGATGATCGGTAGTTATGGGCAACATGGGTCATAATATGTTTGAGTTCTGATCATTTTTTGTCATAACTTCTCTATAGAAATATATTAAATAAAATACAGGCATACTTTCTAAATAATTTGAGACACCAATGTCAAGTCTCTTGACCAGTAGTCATAGAGTTACACGAAAATAGAGCAGGAAGCTGGTAATAAACGAAGGCATTAGTGACTTTGGAACAAAGGTTTTATTACAGAGAACATCAAATAATACTTTCGAAAAAATAATTATTTGATAATTATTTTGAGGATAATAAATATTTCCAAGATATCGAATTCCTATATATTTTCATTATTAATTTGCATATTTTAGAGCTAATTTGCATATGAAGAGTATACGTTTTATTAATATAATGCAAAGAAACATGCATTTGAATGATTTGAGAACTAAAGTAAGTTTTTATGTACATTAGCTAGAGAGATAGGCAAATTCAGTGAATATAAGGTCAGAGGTCAATTGCAGCATTTCCATTCATTTTTTAGGAAAATGTTCCATTAGAGCAAATAGAAAAATGCATGTTCTGAATAATTTGAAAAAGAAACCAACTCCCTGCGAATAGCGGTTGCCAAGATATGAGACCCCTATATTTTCAACCTAATTTGCATATTTTAGCTAATTTGCATATGTGCCCGAGGTGTGACCAAAGTGTGATTTGTGGAAATTATTGTGGAATTATATATAACTGAACAAAAGTCTAAATTTGGGCGAATAATACTGAAATAAAGATGCAATTGCGCCACATCAGCCCAAGCAGTCTATTGCACTTGCCAACAAGATGATCAACATAAGAAAAACTAAGGGTGCTATCAATGAAAATACCAAGGTCTTTATGTGAATGCACCCGATTTATGGGATTGTCATTGATTAAATAATTGTGCTTTAAAATATTCTTTTATAACGAAATAGATAATATTTACGCCCAAACGCCCAAGAACTTAATCTATTAAGGTCCATCTGGAGCCCGTTGGTATCCTCACTGCTGCTAATTATTTTGAAAATCTTGACATCGTCAGCAAACATAAGACATCTGGAATATGATATAATATTAGGAATGTCGTTCATAAAGATTGAAAAGGAGAGGACCAAGAATTGAGCCCTGTGGAACACTGGAGTGGATAGGAAGCCACTCCGATGCAACACCGTCAATGACCACTCGCTGCAACATACCATCTAAGAAACTATTAAACCAGGAAATAAAGCTGTTTTAAAACCAAAACGTAATTTTAGCAATAGTAAACTATGTGGGACCTATGGAAATAAGTCTTTGGCTTTCATGAGTTATCCTTGAAATTTCGCTATCATTATATATTTTGTTTTTAAAATTTTTGTTCTTGTATTTTATGGGATTTGAGATTTTCCGAATACCGGTAAATTCATTCATTCATTCAACTCTCACAATGATCTGTCCCTGTGGTGTTTCTTTCTATTCCTCCCTCTCAGTCTTGGCTCGTCCAATGCTTTTTTTTCTCCTTTTTTTTACCTTGATGATTTTCATTTCTTAGGTTTATAGTACAATATATATATTGCATTTTTGTCTTTTAGTTTGTAAATTTATAGGTCTATAAACATTTTGTGTTGCAATTTAGTTTTTATACCGCAATGACCAATTTTAACAATTTTCTAATTGTTTTTATTGTTGTTCTTATGAAATAAAAGATCAGAAAAAAGAATGTTTTGGATTGTCTAAGCGATCCTGTCCTGCGTGCTACTTCTATTTTTTATTTTTTTTTGCGCACCAAAGGGTACTGTAGAATGAGCTGGATGCAAAGTTATGGTATCAAACTCAGTCTCTCATATGGATACCAGTCAACTCGCCCCTTTCAATCTCGCCCCCCCCCCATCAAAGTTTCCCCTTACAAAGTCGCCCCTTGAAATCTCTTCCCCTTACAAAGTCACCCCCTTACAAAGTCATCCCCTTACAAACTCGCCCCTAACAAACTCACCCCCTGTCTCTGCACAGTCGCCCCTTACCAACTCGCCCCTTAGCAAACTGGCCCCTTGACAAACTCACCCCCTTGACAAACTCACCCCCTTGTCAACGTGTTCGATAGGACACTTTTTACGTTCTTTTGAAGGACACGCCCCTTCGTGTTCTTTGCTTCGTGGCAGTAATTTGTAACGTTCCATCAAAGAGTATAAAACTGCAAGAGGCCCGACTGCCGGAGATTCTTTGGAACGCAATCCTACTTCAAAAAGTCAGAGACGTGAAAAATAAAGGCAGCCATCGTGGATACCATTTTGAATTTGTTCATTATTGATCAGATCACATTATAAATGGTTTTAATAAGTTTCTTGGCCCTTAAAACATTAGATTAGAGAAAAAACTGTCCAGGTTTCTCATATTTTGTTAAAAGTTATTTAAGACACTGGGTCCACATTTTATATATTTTTTGCGTAAAATGGGTCAACTTTTAAGAAAATTGATCCATTTTATATGAAATTACACATAAAGTGGGTCCACCTTCATATTGTCCCACACTGTTTGAAAATCCTACTACGGCATTGCCTGTGGAGATATGTTCCTGGCGGGCGAATGGCACACCATCCTAGTCTAGTTAGCATTCGTATCTGTCAGTTTTATTTGCTTGTTTCATTTTGTTTCCTACCCTTCCATATCAGTATTGACATTATTCGCTATTTGGTAATATTAAACATGGCTCCAAAAGTAAACTGTTAGAGGTTGACTCCATTTTTGATTTTATATTTATTTAAATATTGGTTATAACCTTGTTATTCAATCACATTTTAGATGACATCAATAGATTCTATGACCAAGAAAACATAGGGATTGCCAATGAAACCACAAGTATAGGGTGACTAGTTTATGATTTATAGATATGCGAAAAATATACGGCGGCCATCTTGGATGCCATTATTCATCAGATCACATTCTAAGTGGTCTTTATAGATTTCATGGCCCTTAAAACATTAGATTAGAGACAAAATCTGCGACTCTAAGACAAAAAGCACCTGATATATAGCTGTTTTTAAGGCATTTGCCGCCATTTTGGTGGCCATTTTAGACGCCATTTTGAATTTGTTTATTATTGATCAGATCACATTCTAAGTGGTCTTAATAGGTTTCTTGGCTCTTAAAATATTAGATTAGAGACAAAAACTGCGACTCCAAAACAAAAAATACCTGATTTATAGCTGCATCGGCACCATTTTTGCGGCCATCTTGGAAAACTATTTTCTGGTGGTCCAATTTTTGCCAAATTTGATGTTTTTCTGTAGACCTTACGCTATAGAAAAACATAAAAAAACATTTTCTTGCAATATTTTTGAGTTAAGGGCATTTTTTTTTCATATTTTGACTCTACTAATAATAATGGTAATAAGAATGATAATTACATTGATGAATACAAATGATGATAATAAAATTATCATATATATTCTGTTTTTATCTAACATATTATCAAATATTATTTCAGGCTCGTAGTTTGCTGTACCAATTCCGAACTCTACCCAGAATATCATGCGAATTGAATGGTCTCTGTCGGACGTGTGGACCAGGAATGTGGGACAGCGGTCATGTCCCTGAAGTGGAATGCATTGGCAACCATAAGGACGGTGATGTTTGTCCTCATATTCGTTGATTTTAATCTCAGCTTTATTCCAAACCATGAAGGCAGTTGATGAACTCATATGATCGTTGTGATTAAAACATGATTAATCAGAAAATATATCCTAAAGAGATAAATGAAATAATAAAATATGCATTAGCTGTAATGAATATGCATTATTAAAAATGAATATGCATTAATGCATGTGTATTATAAAATTAGTAATGAATATACATTAATAATAGTGATAGTAATGTATTGATAATAATTTGCATTAAGTAAACAAGTACCACTAAAATTTGTAAATGTTAAAGGAAGAAGCCCATCCAAAGTTCGCAAAAAAAAAAGCCCACGGCTTCCATTTGAGGTTTTACTGTATCTTAATTTTTGTTTGTAAATTTTAGTTGATGATGTGTTTGATAACTAATATAATACGAGCTTTTGTGTTTTTATTACATTTTGATGGTAAATCATTAAGATTATGAAGTCATTCAGCTGCAGTGACCGCTTTACCAACATCTGGTTAACAACAATGGCACTACCTGGTGTTGTGACGGCATTTGTGTTGTACTCTATATACAGTATGGGCAAATCACAGATGTTATTCACATAAGACTTGCTAACGTCTTGAGAGCTTTACTAACCTCCTTTTAATTATTTTCCCGTAACAAAGAACATAGATGTGAATATGATTGTGTTAGCTATAGATTTTAAAGTATATATGGTAGCTATAGAATGATATATTTTTTTCTTGGAATTTATGTAGATAGAGATAAAATAGTAGCTATATTTATGAGTGTATAAATTAAGTCACTGATCTAGAATATGCATAGAATAGTGCATGAGGCCTGTAAACCATATCCCACCTTTGCTATGATGCTACGATTTTTAGATTTCTTGTTGGTATACAATAAAAATGTTTGAATTATGCTTTTTATATACCGTAAAACCTCGAATTGAAGCCCAGTGGGCTCAGCTTCGAGAAGAAGCCCATCTCGAATTGAAGGCCCCCCCCCCCCGCTCTTTAGTGTGTAAAATTAGCCTTGAAAAAATGCCTATCTAGAAAAGAAGCTTCTTGACCCACAGTGTTCTCTATGTAGTCTAGACTGGCCTTCTTTCAATAAATGAACATCATGCCAGTCTATACCTAGGCTCTTCTTTTCAAGATAGCATGGGCTTCTTTTCGAGAACATACTGTACACTACTGTACATGAATTTCAAAAAACAAAATAAATTAAAAAACATGCTTGGTTTATACAGTATAATGGATTACACAGATTGATGTTTTATAGTACAAATTCCCAAAATTTACAGTGTTCATTTTGAAAAGAAGCCCCTCTTTACTTTGCAAAAGTAGCCTCGAAAAGAAGCCCATCCAATGTTTGCATAAAAAAAAGTCGCCCAGGGCTTCATTTCAAGGTTTTATGGTATTAAGATTGTCAATCCAATGGTGCATTTATTATTCAAAAAGGTTTATAAAAATAATACAAAATATGATCAACGATATAAGATACAATTTACAATAATAATAATTAATAATAAGTACAAGATTATCCATACATGAAGTAAAGCAAAACAAGAAGCATTATTGTAACTATAATAAACTTATACTGAATTACTACATGCTACGTTAATTACAAGAGTTTTCATAAATCCAACAAAATTGCATGAGACATGAACTTCATTTAAATAATTAGTTTTATGTTTTTACCTATAGTATAATAGTATTCATAATAGTTAGTTTAGTGTGGTTATTATTCTTTGATTGCGTGCAATATAGGCCTACATTAGTATTATTTCATTGGAATAGAATGAGGATATTGAGTATGGCTTGATAGAAATGAGATGAGGATACTGAGTATGACTTGATAGGAATTGAGTGAATGTATTGAGTTTGACAGGATAGAGATAGAATGATAATATTGAGTGTGCCTTGATAAGAGAGAGTGCAGATTGAGTATAGCATAATAGAATATTATATGATTATAGCCTTGATTATGATAGAGAAATGCTAATGTATTAGATTTGAAAGATAAAATTACAATCATCACAGTAATGTGATTGTCTGAATTCATTGTAAAGTACTCAAGTCTGTTTACCCTTCCTATAGCACCTGTATACCCAGTATGAAGGAGTTACATCATGTAGATATTTTTATTACCATAGTTCATCTAGTATAAGCCCATCCCTTTAAACAAAAATTGGGTCCATTTTGGAGGGTGGGCTTATGCTTAGGAATTTCCTTTTCAAACAAAAGGCATTTTATAGCACAGCATGCCTATTTTAAACTAAAGCCAATCCTTTATTTTTTCAGTTTTCTTTTTTAAAGACAGCTAAGCTACTCAATAAAGTCATACCCTGGGGTTTTGCCCGAGGAAAGGCTGGTACGGAAGATTGAGCATACGTGGGGTGGGCTTATAGCTAAGCCAATTGAGCTTTTACCCAAGAAACTGCATTATTATTGTTGTTGGTGATGATATTGTTTTTATTAATGTTATTCGTCATGCATTTCTGTTGTTCATGGTCTTCATCAGTTTATCATATTCTAGCCTTGTATTTATCTCAAAAATTTTAAGCAGGGGTCTTTCTTCTTGTTATAACATTATTACCGGTATTATTAATTATTATTGTATAATTATTATCACCATGGTTGTTAGCATATTTATTGAACTACAAATTTGTTAAATATTCATTAGGTAACAACTACATTAAGTAATATTAAAGTGAAACAATTGTTTAATTAAAGAAGCCTTTTCCCAAAACAAAATGAATTGCTTCTTTTATTTCCAACTGTTGGATTATTAGCCTAGTTCAGAACAGTGTAGTAGTTCTTGTTACAGAGTCGGTGACAGTGTTCTGCACTTTGTAAATTTTAAAAACGTACGAGGCCGTCTTGTCCTGGGATAGATGTTTCACCAATATAAGTGGAATTACATCACGCACATGTTAATTTGTCTATACAGGAATTGCATATAACCTTGTGAGTAATAATAAACAGATTATTTTACATTTATTATCCTTGTATCCCTTGGCAAAATGCACAGTATAAATTCCAGTATTATTATACGAGTTACAACTAAAAATCTCCCAAGAATAACGTCATGAAAATCATTGCCTTTCTTGCCCATACCCCATTAAAAAGACCAATAGGCTTTTTATGCAAGGAATTAGGGTAGATAATGTATACTGATTATCAGTTTTATTTGATATGCAGTCTGTGGTGAGTTAAACTTAAATAAAATATTTAAATTGCTTACTATATGTATATATCAGTTATGAGCTTTCAAAACAAAATTAAATTATGAATGTATTGCCCTCCCCAAACAGATGCATACATTCCAATTCTATATTCTAAAGCTCCGTCCATATTATCAAATTTTCATGCCCAAATATGGGCATATGGCATTTATTTGTCTCATCATATGTTTACAAGGAGAGTCCCTCGACAGTTAAGATTCCTTTGGGCAATCCCTGCCATGTAACACTCTTGTGTAATGTGTTTTCTGATGTTTTTATTGTACAAGGTGTTGATTGTTGGTGAAATAAATGATATAATCAAATTTGATAGTGTGGACAGAACTTTAAATTTCCTATCAATTTAAAGTGTTTTGTAGTGAAACGTCTGTAAATCAATCAAAACCGATTTTTTTATATGCATCTTATTGACAAAGCTTAAAGCAGACCTTCCATTTTTGTCAAGTTTTTCAGTAATTTTAAATTACAGGTATATCCATAATCGGTTTTATTTAAATTTATGTACAGCACATTGAGAGCTTGGTTATATAAGAATAAACTATTATTATTATTGGAAATATATATCTTTTTTTTAAATTGATTTAAATGAACCATTTATTGTTATAATAGAGAATGTCGAAGGGGTTTTCCTTATTGTCCAGTTTATCTTTAATGAATCTTGCTTAATTATTGTATTACTGCAACAATACTTTTGGTGGAGGTATTTGTATTATAATTATTTATTTAGGTCAAGTAAAACAACATTAAGGTTCATATCCTAACTTCTTGAACAAATGAAGATGGTGTTTATTTTCCTGAATGCTATTTACACTGCATCTCTATAAAATAATCGCAAGTATTAGTAATGTAATTCTAGCAAAGAACTGTAATGCTGAAAAAAATGAGCTAGCAGAAAGTGATGATGAGAAACCAGTTTAGTTGGCCTTGTATGTGTAATGTAAACTTTTTGTAGAATTTCACACTACTGTATTAGGTTGTGTGACAAGATTTTATATTACACCATATATGGGCATGATAATGTCACATCACACTCGCATTTGGGCATGATATTGTCATATTGCACCCATATGAGCATGATAATGTCATATCACACCCATATGGGTGATTTACTGTATACCATAGGTATTTGTCATAAAACGTATTGTGTTGACAGAAAGTGTGTAAAGGTAATTCATATTCTTTACTACCATTGATATTGATCTAAAAATGTATATACACGTCATTCCAATTGTTCAGTTATGTAAACAGCCTCAGAACATGTTTGCTGACCTATGAAAACTATCCACCAATGATGTAAACCTCCACATAGATTATATTTAATTCTGCCTTTTTATCACCAGGTACAGTAATTATACATCCCAAAGAAAACAATGGAAAGAGTTGTTAAGATGTATACAAATATTATTTTTATAGATGTATGTAATTAAATAAAATTGAAACTCTCAAATGTTGTTACAATTTTAGTGCAAGTTGTGTGATTGTATGTAACTAGATTAAATAATAATATAAGGATAATTAACCTAATTATTGTTCCAATACTTAATAATACCATTGTTCTCATCATTCCATGTTATATGTAGACTATGTTCTTTGTCATTGAAACATGTATGTTATAAATCATGAACAATAAAATTTACTTAAAGAGTTAAAACATAATTCATTAGTTTTATTTGGTTTTTGTACATAGATCAGCACAATAAATTTATCAAACACAAATGAAGGGAGTTTGAACAATCTAATGCTACTGTTGTCTTTGAAAGGGGAAGTTTACCTATGTTGGATTCTCTACCCCCAGAAGTATAAATGGGATGTTGTGGCATTAGGCTAAATGTTATTGCAATACAACTAGGTCTGCATTCCCAGTGACCAGAAGGTATAATTTGTGCCAGTATGCAAATGGCTTATTATGCTAAGCCCCACTCTTTACATTGTTATACACAAAGTTCAACAAAACAACACAAACAACAAAACAACAGACGTATGCAAACATGCGTTTGTGGAAAGGATTAGTCATTAGTTTAGTTTGATTGACACTCAAAATATCTTATGGATACAGTGATAATGTATTAAAGTTAATGTATTAAGTTTAGTTGTAAAATAAATTGTGGTAATAATCTATATCCTTTATGAAAATATAATACATACTCCAAGTATTGAAATACACGCTATCGTGTTGGGATTCAATATTTCGACATTAATTATGTCATCATTATGTCGAAATATTGAATCCCAACACGATGGCGTGTATTTCAATACTTGGAGTATGTATTATACTTTCTTATCTGAGATTAATCAGTGGACCTTTTGGCTATATCCTTTAATTTTTCTATATTTACATTTTTAAACATGATTACTGAGTGCTAGTACATATGATTATTGTATGAACATAAATAACTGAAGTTGATACATTTTTGTATTTAAAAGCAAACTGCAACAGAACTAGCTTTGATACTTGATTGTTGATATTTTTAAACAAATTATGCTTCACTCACAAAACAAAATCATATATTTTTCTCTTATGATTAACATTCTCCATTATTATTAATTGAAGAATCAAGTCAATGTCCTGGCTGAATGGCCGAGACACCATCAAACAAGTTGTCCAGTCAGTTCAGGGGACAAGCCCCCATTATACGACCTTTGCAATCATATCTTCGATAACTTCAGCTTCTTGTAGGCCAATAAATTGATCGACTTTAAGACCGTTCTTAATGGCTATCACTGTTGGAACTGATGATACACTGTACACCATAGCAAGATCCGTTAACTGGTCAATATCCACTTTAGCCAAGTCAACTCTGTCGTTAGAAGCATTGACTACTTCCTCCAATCTGGGCCCAAGCAATTTACAGGGGCCACACCAACTACAAATAAAAAACACCAAATGATTACAAAATGATATTCCAGTCCAAACTATCAAGTTTTATAGAGGGCATACCACATCCCATTAACCAGCACTAAGATTCAATGCTTGAGAATTGTCAAAGTGCATCAGAAATGTTGCTATGTATGTATTTATTGATATGTAACATATTATTACACTGGTTAAACAAAAGAAAATTATCCAAAAAATACTATGAGGTCAGTACAATAATGTGCATTTTCACATTTAGTATTTTAACTTCCAGCTAATGACAGGTAATGCCTAATCTCACCTTGTTTTTGTTATACTTTATACAGTATTTATATCTGTTAACTACACAAATCTGATTAGTGGTTAATTTGAGGTTAATTAGGTTTAAGTCTAAGTGGGCATAAAAATCAGTCGGAGGGCCAAAGTGAAATTTTTACTTAACACAGAGGGCCCCACCCAAACACTGATGTTTTCAGTGTGCTTCCAAAAACCTTCATGCACTGCTTTTACACCACTTTACTCTCAGTTTAAATATACAGTACTAATTTTTAGAGATGGTCGGTGTCAGGCCGTAAAAAACAAGGTGTTTTTTAGCCAAAGATGTTTGGCAGGCGGGTTTTTATTTCGTTTTCGCGGGTCGCAAAAAAATCAAAGACCAAAGTAATATAAACAAGGAATTCAATTGCAAATCAAGAAAAAAGAGCAGATTATGAATTTTTTTTAAGGAGCAGACTCTTCCATTATTTGCAAGGTGTGTAAGGATTAAAGCAGCTCACTTTGCATGAAAGTCTACCAAGACAGGTTTCTCACTCTCCAAAACTCTCTTCTTGAAATCTTCTTCATCTTGTACATTAAATGAAGATTGTTGTTGACTTGTAGTGTGTATCAATGAACCATTCAAACTGTAATTATAAAAAAGCTAAATTCTTCAATCATTTATTTGCATCTTTCATTCAATTTGTTTTTCATTGTCTGCCCACCTCCAGGGTTCTGAAAAGGGTTTCCTGTGTCTCCCAGATGATGATGAGATTAGCATTTTATTACAGTAGCTTGCTCCTGTTTAAATATTCTCACCTTTTCAAAGCCTGTATAATAATAATACTACTAGGCCAAGATAATTGTTTCTGAAACTGTCGACTACCTTGTACCAGGAACCGTAATGCCATTGTGCTCTGAGAAAAACGAAAAAAGTTTTTTTTTTAAATATTATAATTACAGTATCATTATTATTTATAACTTATCATTAAGTTAATATTATTTATGACTACTATTGTTAACATTTGTCACTAAAATAAAATACTTTTTTGAAATGTAATTTTGATGACTAGTCCATCTCAGAGGTTCATGAATGTGAACTCCTAAAATCATAGTTTCAATTATACGTACAATTTGATTTCCATCAAGAAATATGTTAAAGTTGTCAGCTTTAAGCTTTCGTTGAGAATTGTAAAAAATTAAATAATCTGTTTTAATTGCTGCGAAGCAGCCAATTCATATTCTTGACAGCAATTTGACCTCTGAAAGGTCATTTTTTGTCAAAAAACGACTGCCGAAGACGACTGAAAAGCGGAGTTTCCTTCTGTCGGGTAAAATCAATTACTTTAGGCGACGTTTGTAGACTAACCAACTCGTACCAACGTCACATGTCGCGACGCTGGAGTATTACTATTCAGCGTTTTTACTACATTTCTAGGTTTCCTATTTCTACGTTTAATCGGCCCATGTCTCAGCCACAATATTTTGAGGCCAGTATTATTAACGAACCCAGTTAAACTTATTTACTAGCCTATTTCAGCGTGCTAATTATTACATTTAGGCGACGCTTGTTGTAGACCGTTGGCTCGCACTTTGGCAACACTCTTTGGCAGTCAACTCGCCCCTAGAAAAGCCGCCCTTGGAAACTTGCCTCATAAAAAATGTACACTTCCTAGACCATGCAGTATTCAAAATAAAAATTGTAACCTTAATTGTAACTACATTTTTCACATACATAGGAATTTTTGAAACTTTATTAAAAAAAAAACCTAAACCATAATTCACCACACTAGACACTTTTTGACAAAAATGAAAAATTACGACTTTGTCACCCAATGAGAAGTGTTCTAATATAGACAATGGGTCGTGTCTCATATTATTTGTTATAGTTTTATTATTCATTATTTTCACTTGACTCGCATACATAATTCTGTTCGAAGAACATTTATATGCAGTTGTACTTCGCAGCACTTCACTTGCAATTTGCAATTTCTAGTTAAGTAATTTATTTGAAATAAACCAGTTACAAAATTTTTTTAATTCATTATAAAATTTACTATAATTTTGGAGAAGACTGAAAATAGTGGTACTGGGTAATAATTAGATAATTGACTTTCCTCTCCTTTCTTGAAAATTGGCACTACTTTAGCTAATTTTAAATGTATTGGAAAAGTACCGGATAAAAAGGATGAATTTATACAATAGGTAAGTTGGTTGATAATAATTGGCAAGACAAAATTTAAGACACAAGAGGTAATACCATAGAATCCAGACCCTTTATTTAAATTTAATAGTTAACATCATCAGTTCAGATTGGGCTAATGAAAAAAGAATTTGCAAATTTACGAGGTACATAAGATAATGGGTCAATTGATTGAAGGATCAATTGTAGAAATATACTTGTTAAACGATTCACATATCTCTTGCTGAGTTGTAAAGATGTCATTGCCATCCTGTATTTTTTATGGGAGGATTTAAGACAGAATGTATTTAACAAGCCAAGTGTTTAGATTACCTTTGTACCAATTGAATTGAGAAAAATAATAGTTCGTTTTAGCGGTGTGACAAAGCTTAGTAAACATGTTATTGTATTTAGTATAGTTTAATTTGTCCAGAGGATTATGGGTGTGTATAAACTTGTTATAGAGTTTATGTTTCCATGTACAGTACTACTTTTTAAAAAAGCAGGTGACATCCATGTTTTAAGATTTTTTTAGAACTTTAAATTACTTTATTCAATACTTGAATTAAGAATTGAAATGTCTTCTTCTAGTGAGACAATTTATATAACTGCGTCACACAAATGCCTGTATTTGACGATGACCACAACTGGCAACGTTATCGGAGGGTCCAGGGGGAAAGCACCCCCCATCCCGCTGGGAGCCTCCTGTCGGGAAATTTCTAGCTACAGGTAGGTCGTCGGCCGGAAAAAGCAAGATGTCGAAAAAATGAGCAGTACTACCGTATGTACAAGGTGTTGCATGGGTCGTATGGGTTGCAGTGGTGACAGTGAATCAAAATTTTATTATCTTTTAATCAAAAATTTTCCCCGTCAAATAAAATTTTCTCCAACCGAGGAGATAATGTAGCCCCCACCCCAACGCTGGTGCCACCACTGCACTGAATGCGGACTTCGGGGAATTTAGCAATTTTGAGCTGGTTTCATTAAGGTAAATTTAGGCATCCTGACAGAAGTCTAGGCTACCTGTCTCTAGGGCTAGCTAGGCTAGCTATATACGAAGCGCGACCGAAATGATCGGCTACCAGCCTAGGCCCTAGCTAGGCCTAGTCTGTATCTTGTTTGGCAGGCCTTTCATATAGGCCTAGGCTATATAACAAGAATATTCTATAACAATCAACAACTTATCATTCATCTATAAAGCGCTAATGCAGTATAAAATGTCTAAAAAGTCCCTAAAATGTGCAAGTCATACTATTCTTTCACCCTTTCAAGGAGTTAGGCCTAGCCACCAGTCACAAACATTTCGGCTGTGGCTATCGGCACTGCCGCAGTGTGCGAAAAAAAGCTGCAGTTTTCTATCGGCACTGCCGCAGTGCCAAAAAGCTGCTGTTTTCTATCGGCACTGCCGCAGTGCCAAAAAGCTGCTGTTTTCTATCGGCACTGCCACAGTGCGAAAAACTGTTATTTTCTATCGGCATTATTGCCCGCAGTGCCGCAGTGCGAAAAAAGTCCGATTTTCTATCGGCACTGCCGCAGTGCCGAAACACCGCAGTTTTCTATCGGCACTGCCACTCGAAATGCTGCTGTTTAATTAATCAAATGGATGTTTTTATCGATAGATTATGGTAGCAATAATTAGTTAGGTCTAGCCTAGCCTGTATTATTGTTAAAATTATATTATATATGTTTTACAATTAATTATAATTATTTCTAATTATTAAATATATACATATGTCTAGGCCTATACATAAAACAAACAAAAAACAAAAAACAAAAATTATAAATAAATAGTAGTAGAAGTAGTAGTAGTAGTAGTAGTAATAATAATAATAATAATAATAATAATAATAATAATAATAATAATAATAATAATAATAATAATAATAATAATAAAAGTGCTCGAATAATACTACTGTATAATAATGAATAGGCCTAATAATACTTTAATAATACTTTAATTGAACTTTTTACGATAGTTTGATTAATGAGATGAATCAGCATATATTAAATCAACTTGCCTCTAAATGATGCAAAACCTGGTGTTTTTTTTTTAAATAAAGATTTTATCTATTTTATGGTTTTAAAAAATAATCTTATACATTATAAGTTTATTTTCTATGATAATTTTATCCACATAATTCATGTTTTCAATGTTAGTATGGTTGATAAATAATATATAAAATAATAATAATAATAATAATAATAGTAATAATAATAATAATAATGAAGGTGCTCGAATAATGCTTAATAAAGAAATAATAGTACTTCAATAATACTTCAATAGCAATAGACCTATTATTTGCAATGGTGTGATTTATGAGATGTTGTTGATTAATTTATAGAAATATACAATAGGTATATACCATTTATAATGATTCATCATACTATTATTAAATCAACTTGCGTCTATAGATGTAAATTTTTTTTTTCAATAAATGTTACCTATTTTATTCTGTTTCAAAAAATAATCTTATAAATTACATTATAAAGTTTCATTGTAAATTCTATGAGAATTTAATCCGCATAATTTATTTTTTCATTTAAACTATTCAGTGGGCCTAACACTGGATGTAAATGTAAAATAAAACAAAAACAAACGCATCGCCAAAGTGTTTTCGTGTATGCAAATGCTAATACTATTGCCCGATTACCGCGTACTGTATTTTTGGTAAGCAGAGTTCACACGAGGTGACGAATATAAATTGAAATGCCGTATAAATAAACTGCAATTATGTAAATAACTTTCACAAGAACTTTACGAATATCTTAATTAATATAATCTTAATTAATATCTTAAATTAGTTAATTACTAATTAATTAATAGATTGATATAAACATTGTGACCTATAACTACAATTTATTAATATATTTTAATTACATAATACAAGAATCCTGCAACGAATTTTTCAGTTCAGAAATTGGCATCGAAAAGTAGTAATTTTTCAATCGCGATCTTCGTATTTCTCGGTTCATAGAAATAGCGACGATAAATATATAGTAATTAGATTATATTTTTTATTATAGTTATAATAATAATTATATATATATAAATATATATGTATAATTTTTATTATATACATGTATTATTATTATATTTTTATTATATATATACATATACATACATATATATATACATATATATACATATATATATATACATATACACATATATATACATATACGTATATATACACATACATCTGTCTCTTATACACATCTAGATGTGTATAAGAGACAGCGTTTATGTTCTTCAAAATTCTAATTTTCTTATTGTAACATAAAAAATCAGCTCACGGGTCCTGAAAAGGTAGGTGTAAAATTCTTTTTTTTTTTTCCTTTTTTTTTTTGTTGCTCAAGAGAGGGGTAAGGACTCATGACCCCTACCAGAGATATGAATTGCGAGAAAATGTAACTCGGTCGGGGACTGGATAAACATTCTCTTTCCCATCCTTCTCCTTCTTCATCCCTCTTTCCTTTCTTGCATTTCTTTCCGATCATACAAACATCTCCAGGCATTATATATTTTTTGCCAAAAAGTGGGGGGGGGGGGCCCGGCCCCCGGTTCCGCCGGCCCTGTTATAATTAAGT